CTCTCTCTCTCTCACACACACACACACACACACACACACACACGTGTGTGTGTGTGTGTGTGTGTGTGTGTGTGAGTGTGTGTAAAAATAAATGTTATGTATACCAGTAAATGTTAATTAGTTTTAGTATATCTTTTTATAAATAAGTAAGAGTTATAAAATAATTATAAAGTATAAATAATTAAAATATTATTAAAAATTATAATAAATAAATAATAAACAATTGTATTAGTATGTCTACAAATAAAGTAAATACATGAACATATGTACATAAATGAACATAAATAATGTATATTAGCATGTCTATAATAATAATATAAAATACAAAATAAAAAAATAGAAATTGTAAATTAGTATTAGTATGTATATTAGTATATGTATATTTAAATAATATAAAATAATTATTAATTATAAAAAAATTATAAAAAATATTACAAGTTTTAGATATTATAATAAACAAATCTGTTAGTATATCTATACATAAAATAAATCCATAAGCCTATAAATACATTTTGTAAATTAGTATTATTATCTACATAAAATAAACAAACAAACAAACAAAATCTAATCCTTCAAAATGACGGTCAATACAAGATAATGTGGAAACCTCATTGTGTGTCATGTGGTCAGAGGTTAATATTCTGAATGCAGAGTGTTGAAAGCATTGCTTGTGTGTGTGTGTGTGTGTGTGTGTGTGTGTGTGTGTGTGTGTGTGTGAAGCCCAAACGTATCTCTGACAGTTTTATAGTGATTAATCTATGAATGTTTATCTGTCAAATCTTATTTACACCTCTTCCATCACATTTTCTACCCACTCTCCTCCTTTCCTCCTCTCTATTCGCCTCTGTGTTTCTCTCTGTTGATTTTCTGTGTGTTTAGGATGATGTCTCAAACTACAGTCTAACAGCATCAGAATTATGTAGAAGTGCATATATAACCGCAGCAATTGATGTGTGTGTGTTTTTGTTTGTGTGTGTGTGTGTGTGTGTGTGTGTGTGTGTGTAATTCCAGTCGGTTCAGCGCAGCGGTGATTTATTCTGGTATTCAGAGGTTAGCGTGTCTCCAGGTGCGACTTTCGTTTCCTTGTCAAACTGTGACACACTCAGTCCATCATCACGTCTCTTCAAATGAGAGAAGGCTCATGCTAAGTGGAGCGCCGAGTGTGTGTGTGTGTGATGTGGGTGTCCAATGAAATTTAACACCAGACCGGCCCACGGCTTCCACAGGATGATAAAAAGACCACACAATGAATGCATGCCTCACTGCAGCTCTATTGTTCCACACAAGAGAACAACTGAGAGAATATGAGACACAGGAACAAACATGACAGACCTGTGAAAGTAAAACAGGGATTTTGTGGCTTGTAGTTCATGTCTAGTAGACTGCAAGGATTACATGCTAGTTACTTCTAAACACTGACAAAGAATATGCATTTAAAATGTCTTTCCCTT